CCTCGGCCGGCCCTTCGCAGAGCAACGGGGCCGGGGGCGGCAAGCAGGTGAGCCCGCCGGGTCAGCCGAACCGGGGCATTTGGTTGTCGGCCGAGGACCTCTTGCCTATTATGTCCTTGTGGTTACGTTAATAAATTATTAGGTCGTTTAAAACGATAGCATTAGAATTCTGTTATGAGGTATGCAGGGAACTTTTTTTTGGTGTGTGTGGGGGGGTAAATAGATATTTTACCTGTGCAATAAGCTCAACAAACGAATAAATAATTCCCGCCTTGGCCTCCACCCACTCCTGTCGTCGTCCTGCTTGAAAGCAGCGCCATCTCATGGGTTTGACAACTCAGCCCAGGGTCTTCTAAGTATTTTAACAAAGTGCATCCTCCGATCTTTGTGAGATTGTTGTATTGTGTTTTCTTCCGCAGTTTTAATTTCTTTTTCTCTAAATTGTGTAACAGAGTAAGCAAGAAATTCACAGAAGGTCCGCTCGGCTCAGAAATACCAAGTACAAATCTGCTCCAACCGCTGAAAAGAAAGTTTCCACCAAAGGAAAAGGGAGAAGACATATTTTTAAGTTAAAAAATGTAAGATGATTGTGGACTGTGTTTCCTGATAGGGCACTGTGGGTATGGTGGGGCTTGCCACTGCTTTCTCTATTCATTATTGAACACAGTGTACCTCTTGGGAGCATTTATGCATTATTCTAGAGGGAAGGCAAGAGTTCCCAAAAGACAAGCTCTATTTTAAGACTCTTGCAATATCGGACGTTAGGAAAGCCGTTTCTGTTTGTTTTTCCTTCAGCTTTAATTTTTCATCTGAAAAAATATAAAAAATGAGTCTAAGAGAAATGCTGTATAAGTTAGCTAAGTGTGTCACATTCTCTATGCAAAGAGAAATTATGGTTCTTTTGTAAATTGGTTAAATTTGTTCACTGACAGTTTTTTGAAGTTATGGTTCTTGATACATAGTTAATTAAGAAACATTTTTTGAGGAGTAGTGATGGTGCTAACCTTTAATTCCTGTACTCAGAAGGCAGATACGGGTGGATCTCTTGAGTTTGTGGCTAGGCTGATCTACTGAATGCGTTTCAGAAAAATTTTTCTGTCTTTTAAAAAGTGGGGCAAATAACTTAATTCATCAATACCTTATTTGTTATGATAGCACCAGAAAAAAATGTATCTATTGGTTCATGATGAATTTGGTGATTATAAATCCAAAATTTTTCTAAACCTGACGTATGAAGATTGTTTAAAATCTCATGCTAGAGTCTGTTGCGGTAAGGTTTTTTGTTTGTTTGGGGCAGTGAATGATATTGTAGGTGTTTTGTTTTGTTTATCTCAGCTTGGTTATTACTTTTGGAACAAGAATGCCTCACTTGCCAGTAAATGCCTTTCTAAAAGTAGGCATATTCGTTTGTAAAATGGGTCCAGGAGAAGAGACATAAAGATTGTAGACTCTTGTTTAAATATTTATTTTTATTTTATGTGTATGAGTGTTTTGCCTGCATGTGTATACCAGGTACCTCAGAGTCTAGCAGAGGCGTTGGATCCCTTGGTACTGGAATCACACAGTTATAAGCTGCCATATGCAGAAGGCGTTGGATCCCTTGGTCCTGGGATCACAGTTATAAGCTGCCATGTGGGTGCTGCGGACCGACCTGGCTCCTCTGCAACAGCCAGTGCTCTTCACCACTGAGCCTTCTCCCAGGCCCAGTTGCTTCATTTCTTTTTAAATGTATTTTTTATGGTATACATATGCGTGCAGGTACATATGCTGAGGTACATATGTGGAGGTCAGAGGGCAGATTTTAGGAGCTGGCTCCCTCCTGCCTTAGTTCCCAGGGTCCAGCTCAGGTTGTCACACTCTGAAGACTGCGTTCTATTCAGTTACTCCATTATCAATTTCTCTGCATAGCCATTCTTGGAAAATGGCACAGAGTCACAGGAAAGGCCATTTTGATGTTGTGATAAAGTTTGCGTTGCAGTTCTAAAAAGGGATTTTAATGGTGGTGCACTGTGGCAAATAACTAAGAACCCTAAAGAGTTCAGGCTTGCAACAAAATTAGATTTTTCATTTTATATTTATATGTACATTTTAAAAAATTTCCATCCTGTCAGGCTCAGACTTTTAGAGCCACTGTATTTCTATACTTAAGATGTTAATGTCTATTGGAGCGCTAGAGAGCTGTGTGTGTATTAGTGCCCAGCAGCATAATCAGAAACGCCACCTTTTGTTTTCAGCACTTTGAAAATACTGGTAGAAAAAATAGTGGAACTAGTTACCTGTTTCACATTCTGTATATGTGTGCATGCGTGTGTGTGTGTGTGTGTGTGTGTGTGTGTGTGTGTGTTAGTAGTTTCTGTCACCAAATAACAGTATTTTGGTTTTTTTTTCAAATGAGATAATTCTCATGTAGATGAGAAAATGCCCATACATACTATATAGGTACACAAATGTTTCTGCATCTGTTTTCTTGTAGCCTATCAAAGCTCCTGAATCTGTTTCTACCATAGTCACTGCAGAGTCAATCTTCTACAAGGTAAGCCTCTGGAGTCACTGAGACAGAGCAGCTGGGCTGGTTGTAGCCTATGCTACTCAACACTGAAAGAAAAGTTTCTGACAGGCATGATGGTGCCTTAAAGCAGAAGCCAGAGCAATAAAGGCAGTAGGCATCAGGACGTCTGTGTGTATGTTGCTCTGTTAGCTTGATGTTTTGTGGGATTCCTGACAGTGGGAGAGGCTGTCTCTTTGACTCTTTTCCTCCTACTGAGTTGCCTTGTCCATCTTTGTTATGAGTGGCTTTGCCTTGTCTTACTTTATCTTGTTTTGTCTTGTTTGAATATTATCCCTTGGAAACCCCTGCTCTTTTCTGAAGAGAGACAAACAGGGAGTGTATCTAGGGGAGAAGGGAAGTTTGGTGGAGAGGGGCACGCTGGGAGGAGTAGAGGGGGGGGAATCTGTGGACTTGATGTTTTATATGAGAGAAGAATCTATTTCCAAGTTTTTTTAAAAAGTTTTTAAAAGTTGGGCTAGAGAGATGGCTCAACAGTTAAGAGCACTGGCTACTCCCTCAGAGGACCCAGGCTCAATTTCCAGTACCAACATGATGGCTCACAACTCTGTATTTCAGTTCTAGGGCATCTGAAGCCGTCTTCTAGCCTCCTTGAGAACCAGGAACACACATGGTATACAAACTTACATACAATCAAAACAGCCATACACATAAAAACAAAAAAAAACTTAATAAAAGTTTACCGAGTCTAGGGTATATGTTCTTTCCAGGGATATATCAGTTTATATCTGAAATATCAGACTTTCTGTATTTGAAATATATCAGTTTTTATATATAGACTGTAAATATAGTTATAGTCTGATTAGTATGTAGATTGGCACACAGTCTGCAGAACAGGCAAACAGGCAGCTTCACAGTATCTCTGCCTACAAGAAGCATTAAAGTATTAAGGGCAAACATTTACAATAAGGTTGTGTTTTTCTAATCTATTTCTTTACATAATAAAAATTAGCCTTGTAAATCTAGTCAAGGGGTATACAATTGAACTTAATAAACAAAACAAAAAACTGAACAAAAGTATTCTTATTCTTAAATCATGATTCAAACTTTTGTTGATAAAGAAAGATCTTTGGGCCAAAGCATACAGATAGCTATGATTTCAGTGAGGCATGTGACATCTCATTACTTTTAAATTGGAAGACATAAAAGGAGAACATAGAGAACGCCTCTAAAGCTGGCAGGCCTGGTGTAGGCACCAATCCTCAACTGTCATGCAGGAGGCAGTGGTGAGTCAGTGCTTTAGACCTGATCCAGCTGGACCAAACAGCGGGTGGCACTCATATGGGTTATGACTTTTGAGTGTGCTTATTTTTATTAGTCTACATGTGTTAGTAAAAAGAAAAGTCTGTCATAGGCCAGAGTTCCTCTTACATTTCTAGAATTTTCTGTATGATTGTTAATCATAAGATAAAGTTGAGTAAGTGTGTATGACTGTACATGTACATGCATGTGTGCATGTGTACTCACATGCTTGCACACACAAGCATGCATCCTATGGGTCAGGCAGTGAGCTGAGCGTTGTTTTCCTCTTTTTATGGATAAGGACAATGATTCCTATCCTCATGAATTCGCTTGTTCAAGGTATTATGGTAAGGGGTGAACACAGTGTCTGGTGCTAGAACCCAAGCCGATCTTGGCTTCACTGCTTTGGCAGGTGATTATGTTACTAATCTCTAATGTTTCTTCATCTGTGAAATAAAGTTTGTGAGTAGTAATTACTTCCTAATATTATACATGTTAAGTATTTAGCAAGGTTACTAGTCGATGTCTGATACAAATGGCCACCATCACAGCTTCAGATCTGTAGAACTTCTACTTCATAGGTTAGAAGACACAATTTTAGCATACTAGTGATTTCTCTGTGTGTGGTAATGGAAAAGCATGTGGGGCTTAGTCTTTTCATATTGCTATCTACTGCTTTGTTTATTAAATAGTAAAACCAAAATACAGCAAAATACTCAAATTATGTTGCCAAGAGCCAACATTATGGACACTGACAGCAGAGCCGACATCATGGTGGCAAGTTCAAGAGGTCAGTGTGAGCTTCTAAGCTCGGCTGGAGCCCCAGATCAGACATGAGAGGGAGGGACTGGAGAGGTGGCCCAGTGGTTAAGAGTACATACCTCTGTGTCAGAGGACTCGAGTTGAGTTCCCAACAGCTTCATCCAGCCAGTCACAGCTCTCTGTGCTCCCGCTCCGTTGGCCTCTGTGGTACCTGCACTGACACCAACAAGCTCCAT